AGCCCATGTTTTCCAAACTTCCCAGTAAGAATCATGTGGGGAGGTGAATCCTAGGCCCCCACGCCTGAAATTCAGCTGTGGCTACTTGGCCCTAAAGACAATAATGGTGATGGTAATGACAGTGACTCACATTTACTGAGGGCTGGCTGGTCCAGGCCTGTGGAGGGGACTTAGTTCTGCCCTGCGCGATTCCTGTTTCCCCTCAGGCCAGGCTATTTCAAAATAGAGCCACTGTCTTCCAATCTTCTCTCTGGCTGGTTCGTGGTTCTGGCTCTGCAAGAGGCACAGGCGACCCTCAGTGTTTACGCCATGGTGGGCGAGGCTCAGGAGGCCCCCATTCTCATCCCGGCCCCTCTGCTATCAGCCACGGAGTCTCAGGGAAACACCCTCCCCAAGGGCCGTGTCTCCTCTTCTGTAAAATGAGGGTTGGAACCATGGGATTTGGGGCGTCTCAACCAGGCCGGACAGTCTGTGACTTCATGATTTTACTAAACAAAGGCTCTTTGGCCAATGCTCCTGTCAAAGAAGGGAGGCTGCAAGCTGCAGTCAAATGTTTCTGAGCTGTGTGCCTTAGAACATGCTAGAACGTGTACTGTTGTGGGGAGATCAGAGGCTTGCTGAAGCTGGCGACCCATGCCCATGAATATAGAGCTGGGATTAGAACCCAGAGTAACCCAATTCCGAAGCCCCTGTCTTTCCATGACATCGGTCCACACTACGCTATGCTCACTCTTCTTCCCATGGTCAGAAAAGAGTCCTAGAAACAAAAAGGAATATAATAATAGCTTACCCTTATCTGGTACTTCCTTTGTACCATATGTACCTATGTGCCTGTGCCTGAGACTTTTCTAAGCACCTGACACACTTTGTCTAATTTAACAACCCATGAGATAGGTATTACTGTGTTCGTCCCCGTTTTATCATCGTGGAAACTGAGGCACGGTGCACAAAAAGAAGAGCTGTGACTCAGACCCAGCTCCCCTCCCCTGACAGAGCTCAGTTTAACAGAATAAGACATGGGACTGTGTGAGGGCTTTGGAGCAGAGGTCTTGTGCAGCATGGGGCTCCCATTCAGGAGGCTGATGGAGAGAAAAGAGATTTTTCTGGAGTGTGAAAATGAAAACTTAGACCAGCACCTGCACCCCTTCCAGAAGATCCAAATTCCCAGGGCCTCCAGGTGTGCTCAGGAGCTACGGATGGGGGCTGGCATCCTGGAAGGAGACGCAAGCCCGTAGACAGCTGGGCCTCCGGGACTCAGCAGCCAATCTCTGAAATGCCACCTGGTTTCCAAAGCTGGGAGGTGCGGGACGCCAAGAGAAAGCAAAATGCACCAGTCATCAAGGACTAGCCCCGACGCCCCACCTCGCACAATTCACCAGGATTTTAACAGAGTTACTTGTGCCCAGTGTTTACTGAGCTAACTAGCTCTAGAAGGTTTAAGATAAAATGGAAAAGCCTGGCACTACTCTCTCTTCACAAGTCCCCCTCCTCACAGATAACTACTTCCAGGTCTTTTCAGGGATTTTGCTGGCGTTTAACTCCCGCTCTCTAGAGCAGCCTTTCCTAGTCTTTCCCTGTGTCATGCCACCTGGAGGGAAACGGTCACAGGAGGAGGAGCTCACTGCGGACCGCAGAAGTCCAGAAAGTTCCTCCACAGTAGCATTTATACTGGGCCCCGGCCGGCAAGTAGGGAAGGGTAGAAAGGCACTTCAGGAGAAGGGGCAGATGGGCATGGCGTCTTCTGGCAATGTGGGGAGACCATTTAACTTGAATGTGGCTGTGGGTTTGGGAGAGTTGTTTCTTTCACTTCCTGCTTTATAGATCTCTGTATTGTGTGATATTTTTGTAACAAGCACTCATTACTTCTTACTAATATCCTCAATTTAAAGAGAGTCATATCCTTAGCATCCAGCTACCCACGGGAACATTTTCCCTCAAGTGCTAAGAATGCTGGGTCAGTGGAGATCGTCTTGATGCGGACAAGGGGGCTGGGGCTAAAATCCCATCAGGGCCAAGCTCAGAGGGGCTACGGCAGAGCCCGGCCGACAGCCTGTGACAGATGCCGCACAGACGGGAATCCGGATCTCAGAGGTGCTTCCTCACTGACTACTGCAAGAGTCCCAGCCTCTCTGGGAAACGACATGATTGCAGGGTGTCTGCCTCAGAGAACAAAACTGAACTTCTCTGGTCCCCCGGCCGGCAGCCATCACCCCCAACGGTCAGAACACACGAGAGCCACACGAGAGCCAGAGACCTAAAAAGGAAGAGGTGGTGGCGGCGGTGGGGCCTGAGAGCTCACTCTTCCTCAGGATCCAGACCGAGGCTTTCCTTGTGCCAGGGCTTTTCTGCGATGAGGTCTGAGGCAAGTTACTTAACCCCAGCCTCAGTTTGCCCTTCAATAAAATGGGAACAAGAATTCATGCCAACACCTGTAGGTACACATCCATAGTAGCACTATTCACAAAAGCCAGAAAATAGAAATCGCTCAACCGTCTGTCAGTGGAGGAACAAACAAAATGCGCTATCTCCATACAATGGAACACCACGGGGCCACGGCAAGGCATGAAGTGCTGATACAACATGGAGGAACCTCGGGAACAGTGTGCCGAGAGAAGCCAGTCACAAAAGGCCACATACTATATAATTCCCCTGCCTGAACATGTCTAGAATACGCAGATCCACAGAGACAGAAAGGAGACTGCCAGGGGCTGGGGGAGATGGGAAAAATAGGGAATGACCGCTTAATGGGACAGGGTTTCTTTTGGGGGTGATGAAAATGTTCTTAAATGGATTGTGGTGAGGGCTACACAGCCCCATGGATACGGTAAAAACCATGGGATGTTGCACTTTAACATGGAGAATTTTAAGGATAGGAATTATTCCTCAATTAAAAAAAAAACAAAAAACGAGACCAAGATGATCCAACTAACTAACAGGGTTGTTCTGGGCTTGAAATAAAATGTCCTTTAGAAGCTTGGCGCGGAGGGTGGCGGATGGGGTCACTCGGGGGGATAGGAGATGCAGCTGTGGGAATGCAAAGACATTGTTTCCAGGTGAGAATTCATTTACAAGGCTGAGCTCCAGCTCCCGGGCTGGCTGAGGGAGGAAGAGGACCCCTGGCAGTCACCCCCTTCACAGCCTCATCGCAAGGAGACCGCTGTGCGTGCTACCGTAGGATCTGGGACTTGCCGAAGCAGTGCCGGCGTCTTCCTGGCAAGCCAGCCAATCCACAAACACCTATCTGATTAGAATCAAAAGTAAATAAATCCCAGGCAGAATACTACCAAATGACACACAGTCAACATCTGAGATAATAAATTATTTTAATTTAATAGATGACTCATCGCTAACACGTTGGGACAAAGGGGAATAGAACTGACACAGCAGCTGTAATGATGAGGGCAGTGAGGCCTCCAGCACCTCTGGAGCAACCAGCGCTGGTCCAGGCAGAGGCCACACGCTGGGACAGGCCCTGAAGTCTTCTACGAAGACAACAGCCGCCAACACTGACGGAACATCTTCTCTAGATAATCCTGAGAACCACCCCTGAGGGAGGGCATGATTACGAGTCTCCTCTGGCAGATAAGGAAACAAAGGCTCAGAGAGGTTAAGAATTTGTTCAAGGTCACACAGTAAGTGAAGATGGGGCGGAGCTTGACTTCCTCTGAGGATGCTGCCCTGCAGAGTAGGGTCTGGAGACTTGGATTCTGATATGCTGCTGTTCTTAACTCAAGCGACCTTGGGCAGGTCACTCTTGAACCTTAAGCTCCTCGAGTGGGACACACACACTGGTGACTACAGACCAGACTTCTCAAAACAGAATGTACCAGGGCGCCTGGGTGGCTCGGTCGTTAAGCGCCTGCCTTCGGCTCAGGTCATGATCCCAGGGTCCTGGGATAGAGCCCCGCATTGGGCTCCCTGCTCTGTGGGGAGTCTGCTTCTCCCTCTCCCATTCCCCCTGCTTGTGTTCCCTCTCGCTGTGTCTCTCTCTGTCAAATAAATAAAATCTTAAAAAACAAAAACAAAAAACCAGAATGTACCCATGAGTCACCTGGAGACCTTGTTAGAATGCAGGTTCTGATTCAGCAGCTCCGGGATGGGACCTAGGAATCTGCATTTCTAATGAACTTCCTGGTAATGCTGATGCTGACACCACTTTGAGAAGCAGGAATTGGATGGTAATCACTATGCAAATGGCAGCGAGCCACAGGGCGAAAAATGCCTATTTCAAACTCTCAGTCCGGGGCTGGCCATCACCTCTCATCTTTGCTTTACCCCCTTTCCAATGGGGGAGCAGATTTAAGCCCAACCTATATACCTAAGATTTTCTAACCATGTTTTGTTTTCATATTTATTTTTATGGTTACCAGGTATTGATTTTCCATTTATAGTCATGATATAAAATCCTTTTAAATTTTATTTAAGAGAACTTCATTTAAAGAAAAATGCTAATTAACAATAATCACAGCTAATACTTTTACAGCCCTGAGTATATGCTGCCCACCCTTCTAAACATAACACAATTTTCATCCTTACAACTCTAGAAAGCAAGGACCTTTTAGAGATGAGCAAATTGAAACCTAACTCCGATCAGACTTAACTTGATCAGAGAGGTAAAGTCACTTGCCCAAGGTCACCCAGCCAACAGGTGGCAGAGCCAGGCTTCGAATCAGGGCAGCCCAACTTCAGGGTCGACCACGTTATTCCACCTATGAATGAGCAGAGCTGGCCCTCTGACATGGCGAAAACTGTGAACGTCACCTGCACACGGTCAAAGGGAGGCAAACACTTCTTTCTTGCTGCAGGAATCGTGTCCAGATGCCCCTCAGGCTCCCCAACACTTGCAGTGCCCGGCACAATGCCTCATCCACAGTAGGGGACAATGCATGTCCCAGAATAAATTTCCCCGGCCTGACGTGCTGGGCACCGGAGAAGCCTGGGGTCTGCCCTAGGGGTACCCCTGCCTGGGCTGAGGTGCTGGCCACGGGGCCGGAGCCCACATGTAGGTACACGTGGACATCTCTGGGGGTGATGAGATTGCAGACAGCTCCGCTCGCCTGGAGCCCACTTCTGAGCAGGGCAGATGGTGAGGGGGCTGTGGCTGACAGTGGGGAGACTGCACTTACCAACAAAGGCAGGGCCCCGGGCACAAGAGAGCTGCACGCTTAATGACTGACTAAATTTTCACCTTTTCTCCTCAAGCCGTCAGGGTCTGAAACAACGAACAGGCCTGCAAGGAATGGGTTTTCTGAGCAGTAATTGGGCTTCCTGAGGTCACAGCTGGATGAAGGGACCAGGAAACAGTAGCAAACGTCTCCAAAGAGATCTGTGCTCAGCATCTGACTCCATCAAACACCCGTGCGGGGCCACCAGCCTGCATGCCCTGTCTTGCCCACCCGCCAGTCCTTGAGCTCACTTGCCACCTGGACTTGGTCCGTGCCGTTCACCCAGTCTGGAACACCCTTCCCTCTCCCCTCTGCCCCCACAAATCCTCTGGCCCGCCAGCCCCACCTCCCCCAGGAAGGCTGCCCTAACCACCTCGCCTCCAACTCCAGGACACCTGCCTTGCTGTTCGTCCTGGATCATCTTCTCCCAACTGGTAAGTATCTGCAGACTTGCATCTGAGACCCATGAGCGGTGAACTTGACAGGAGAAATGTGCATCCTCCTGCTGATGACCCCTCAGGCCTGGCACTGAGCTGGGCAAACACCTCTGGACTTAACTCTACCCTTCACCACTGAGAAGCTTTGTCTTGTTATTCTCCCTTTGTAAAATGGGGGCACAGTGGCCCTTTGGCGGAACGAGGAAAACAGTGAGCTAATAGCTGTCTAAGGTTTGAGTTCACAGCAAGAACCAAGCCCTCTGCAGCCAAGATGTGAAGATTTCAACTAAGATGGTCTTCTGGTTACCTGAAAACAGTTTTATATCCCTGGAATCCACCTTGACAATGACAGCGGCTGTTCCTTTATTAAAGAATCCCTTTCCCTGCCTCTGCCCCCTGCCCCCACCTTTCCCTCCCCATCACCTGAATACCCTTGCCCATTTGAGAACCTTCAGGACGCCGACGCCACATGGGTGGAACCCACCCTCTGCAGCCCTGCATTCCCGCCGAGGGGTCTGGGTCTGACCTCCCCTTCCCAGAAGTCCCTCACACAATTCATGGGAGTTCCCACCCCCAGGCCAAGCCAGACTGCTCACTGTTCCCTGCAAACTCCCTTTACTTTCCCACCTCTGTATTTTTGCTGGTGCTATACCTTTAGCCTCAAAAACCTTCTCTCTCATCACCACCATATTACAACACCTTGTAAAGGCTGCCTTTCCATGAAATCTTTGCTCATGTCTTCTAGTGATGTCATTGCTCCCGCCTTCAAGCCCCCTTTGTGTGTCTGTCGACTCTGTCGGGGTGCCCACGCTTCCTGGCTGGGCAGAGAGCTCCCGGAGGGCAGGGATCAGGTTCCACTGAGGTGGGGAAGCATGTCACAGGGGGCGTGGGAGGCCCACAGACTCAAGTGCAAAGTCCAGCACAAGATCTGCTGGCTGTGAAAATCCAGGCAAACCAGGGCCCTCCCAGAGCCTCAGTTTCTCCTTCTATGAGTGATGTGAAAACACCACCTGTCCAGAGCTGTTGAGGAAATCAGATGCAGTCATTTGCTTGACAAAGGTCTCCTGAGCTAGCACTGTCGGGGCAGACGGTGGTGAGCAAGACAGAGTCCCTGACCTCAAGGAGCTTACATTCTAGTGCAGGGAGAAGGGTAGTAAATATAGACAAATACCTGAGGGAATGTCAAGCAGCAACACTGCTCTTAAGAAAAGAAAACGGTGTGATGGCAGACCAGGTGACTGAGGCAGAGGCAGGACCACCCTCAGTAGGGTGGTCAGGGAGGGCTTCTCAGAGGAAGTGGTACTTAGCTGAGACAAGAGTAGGAAGGAGCAGGGCATGCAAAGATCTAGGCAGAGGACAGCCCAGGCAGAAACACAAGCATGCACGCGAGCACGCGTGCGCACACACACACGGTATAATGGGACGCCTGCCAGAGCTCAGTAGTTAGCTCCCTCCTGCTTCTCTCACCTTCCCATCCTCTGCAGAGCGTTCCAGAGCCTGACACAGCACACGGTGAATAAAGGTCTGCTGAAATGAACTTGACAGAATAAGGAATCCTGGGGATAAATTGGTGCACGACTAAAATAGGTGCCTTAGCAAAACAGTCAACCAAGATGAGGCAGGTGCCAATGACAAGTCTATCGAATCCAACCTCGTCTTCAAAGATAATGACCTTCTGCCACACTTGTCTCTCGGAAGGAACCACATTTCCTAGCCCGCAGAGGACGGCGGAGATCTCTCGTTTCAGTCAGTCACCACACTGACCGCGTGGGGTGTGTCGGAGCCCCTCCGTGGTTTCTGGAAATATTTGATTTTAATAAACCCCTCTGTCTCGCTAAATCACCTTCCCAAGGCTAACACTTTCCTACTTGAGGAACGCCAGCGTTTGATGCCACAACACCCTCTATTTGGTTATCTCTCTGAGGCAGAACGTTTTTAGTCTTCTGCCAACATGTATCTTGTGAGGCTGCATAATTATCCGAGTGATTTCAGTATTTCTCTTCACCTTAAAAAAACGCTGCTTCAGGTGCCAGTGACAGCCAGGTGTCCAGGTGGCTACACTGGAGGGAGAGGTGAAGGATGCTCTGGGGGCTGTCAGGGCCCCCACAATTAGGGTGGGGGCTGAGACAGACAGCGCTGCTCCCAGGCAGCAGCCCTTCCACAGAAATCTCCATTTCCAGCTGGTTGTGCTAATATTTCCAGTCCCTTTGCTGTGCACTTCTTCAGGGATGTGTCCCTTGGGGACCCCAACTCATCAGAATCCCTTTATCCACCCCAAACAGTCCGGACTTCCTTATTTCTGCTATGGCATGACCAGGCTTCTAACTGCATGCTCCCACAACCAATGAGCTGCCCGGCCCCATCCACCGCCTTCCCTGCCCGTCTCCCCCAACCCCAGGCCCCATTCAGGACAAAGCCACACCAGCTCAGGCCTGGCCCACGGAAGGTGCCTCTTCCCTGGTTTCCCTCCTGCTGCTCTCACATCCATCCTCAGCCCAGTGATGATCTGCCTTAACCTCACCTGGATCATGTCACTCCCTGCTCAGAAACTGCCAGATTAAGTACAGCAGAGGCACTTAGGCCCCACGGAACTTTCTGACCTCAGAGGCTGAGCGTGACGTCCGAAGCACGTCTTTCCCTACAACACGGGTCTGTTGTCCACAGCCAGTGACTTCCCCTGATTCCCAGCCATCAGCGCGCTCTACACCATGCTGTTGGTTAAGCCAGGGGTAAGAATGGTGACTCTGCAGCCAGAGTGCCCGCCTTTGAATCCCCCCCACCCCCCCACCTTGGAGAAGCGGCTTAGGCTTTTTAGGCTTTCTGTGCCGAGTCTCCTCCCTCTGGGAGTCGAGAGTAATAGCAGCTCCCTCACGGCTGAGTGATGAACAGATCACAGGGTCCCAGTGAGGACTGAATGAGACACACACAAAACACCTGGGACAGTTTAGCACATCGTGGGTATTAAAGAAGTGTGAGCTCATTCGTATTCACGGGTCATTTTTTTTTTTTTTTTAAAGATTTTATTTATTTATTTGAGAGACAGAGAGCATGAGAGGGAGGAGGGTCAGAGGGAGAAGCAG